AAATACATTTACACTATTAGAAATAATGTATGCTACTCGATAATTGTCTAGCAATTAAACTATTGTTTGAGATAATTATGTTATATATACATGTTAAGCATGTATATAAGTGTTATAGTATTCATGTATGTCCCCATTGTCTTCATAAAAGCAGTTTCCTTGATTTAAGTTGCTAATCAAGTTGATCAAACATACAAAGAGCTTTTGTGCTTTCGAAATTAATTAATAGTATGTTTCTTACTGCTTACTTAGTAAGTGTAATTAAGTAAATTACATTTACCGTACAAAGAGCATCTGTGTTTTTTAAAAAAGTCAAAGTCAAACAAACAAAAAGTAACAATTTATTAAAGTATTTGTTTTTATAAATAAAATATATAATTGATATATAAAAACATATAAATGTATATAAATATAAATGTTATATATAAGTACCAATAGTCGATATCATTATACAATATCGTATATTATTTAAAAAAAAATATTTGTTCAGTTGTATATCAACTGAGATGTAAACAAGCAAAGCTTCTCTAGAACTTTCACAAAACTTTCTGACTCATAAAGCTCTTTCACATGTATAAATCAACTAATGTCAATGGAAACAACCAAATATTAATTTGGTTTGTATGAATTGATTTAACTGAAGTAGGAACATGGTATTAATGTAATAATACCAACCAGAAAATATGACAGCTAATTACATTGAAAAGCAAAGTTGAAACCAAATAATGCACTTGTTGATGGAATTTGCTATGGTTAGTATACATTACTTAATTTTTAATAACTTGTTATTAATACAATGTACGTATCTTTCGGTGCTTGAGTATTAGATACTGTAACACCTGTTGTGTTAATGTCCATGTTTGACTAGAACCAAGTTTAAGTTTTTGGACGCTCCATTTTTTAATACACTCAGCAATATTTCCAACATTGGTATTATCCAGAAACTTGCGGAAACGGCGAATTTTAATATGACCTACAAATACAATTACGAAGAAATCATTATGGTTTTTTAGCTAATTGAGAAGGATTTAGTCGTCCTTCTACTTTACCTATTAAATTGTTGTATTTTTTATATTGCTTTTTTTCCTTTTTCTTTTGTTTCTCTGTTTGCTGCTTGAGTTACCATAATGTAAACACATAAGCAATTATCACACATCAAGTTCCGGAAATTGTAAAGTGTAAGCGTGGTATTAGTCATTTTAAACGATTTTTATTTTTTTAAAAACATTCAAACCTTTAATAAATAAACAATGAGCGTGGCTTTTTTTTTAACAATAAAAAGCTGATTTGTTTTTTTTTAACTTTAATGATTTCTAATTTTGTATGGTTTTGTGTAAATATGTACATTTTAAAAAGACTGATAAATTACGTTATAAATTTAGATTATTACAAAATTATGTTACTAGAATTTTGTAAATTATGTTTCCAATATTGGAAATAAAGTTGTTAAGATGAAACTGAGAAAAGCGTCTATTTTGATAACAGCAGCTAATCTTAACAATCGTATATACATTATAGTGTACTCTGTATGCATACTGTACAGTATAGTACATACTAGTTAGTATGTGTTTCCAGACTATACACGCGTGGACATATCCAGAAGGTCTTTCTGTTTCTCAATTTGTCTGTTTCTCTCTCTCTGTCTATCTCTCTCTCTGTCTATCTCTCTTTCTCTGTCTATCTCTCTCTCTCTGTCTATCTCTCTCTCTCTCTGTATATTTCTCCCTCTCTCTGTCTATCTCTCTCTCTCTATCTCTGTCTATCTCTCTCTCTCCTCTCTCTGTCTATCTCTCTCTCTCTCTGTCACTCTGTACATCCCTCTCTTGTCTGTTTCTCTGATCAAAGTGGGGTCATGTAAGAAGAAATCTCTTTGCATAAAGTATCGAAATAATTAAAATCTATTTTATTCTTATTGCTAAAACAAGTCAGCAAATTTAGGATCGAAGGGAACTACCTGCAAGTATAAAGTCGCAAACCTTCACCATTGATATATCGTAGTTATTAGGACGCAAAATGGATCAAAGCCCTCTTGTTCCCGTTTTCATAATGGGATATTATGAAATATAGCTTCCGTCACTTTTTTAGAGACAGGTCACTGCCCTATATGCCACACATTGACTATGCAACATAACCCCGATTACAACATAACTCCACAGAAGATGATCTCTGTTAATACTAACGTGTATAATCATTGAATATAAGGTGGCTTATAGTATTCATTTCTAACATAAAGTAAAGTCAGTATATAATATAATAATATGGATCCAAACATTTTTAGTGAGTTTGTTATATCTCTCTAAAGCTAGAGATAGGTTAAGTAATTTCATATTTTAAGGCTTTTCTCTTTATTTTTATCCAATGAAATTATTACAAAAGTAGGTAAGTATTTCCAATTTGATCACACTTTATTTTAATCACTAGTCCCAAAGAAATATACATACTGATATATTTATGTTCCTAAATAGATTCGAAATATTTAGCTTTCTCATTTGAAAATAAATATTGATGTTAATAGTGTAATGCCTGTATGGCAATTTTGGAACTCTTCCAAATGAGTTTTACATGTGACAGAAATAAATAAATAAATGAAAATTTCTAGTTTCGTTTGGCTATGTGTCTTAGCTTTCGAACAGCAATTAACTCTATCGAAAATTATAGACTCTATCAAAATTTTCAGTACATCATTAATTTGCCTGCCAAAAATAAAAATGCGTCACACAAATAATAAGCCAAAAATATAAAGTGCGTAGCAGTGTTTCAAATTCAAATTTGCCAAATTTATTCCTCCTTAATAATTCGGAGATATCGACATATAAGCACATCGAGAATCAAAAAAAAGTCAACTTAGATACATTTTGCGTTCTGTTTTAGCAACTCTTAACTGTTCTTTTATAATTGCTGCGTCAATATAACTTCTCTCTCTTCTTTATTTACTTTAGCGTGCTGCGCCCCAGTCCATTACATTAGACCGGAACAGAGCAGCTCACAGCACACTGACCTTTTTAGGTTGAATGGCTTCAAGTTTTGTTGTGGTGTACGCGTTAACAAACGGTTTCAGTTATTGTTCTCGCAGTGCGCTGTTACGCTGTTACGCTGTTACGCTATTACGCTGTCACTTATTCTTATTGAGAGAACCCACATGCAATAATGGGAACAAGTAATTTTGGGATTTGTTTTAAATTTCTTAGGGAAAGCACCCCACCTTTGGTAAGAAGTTCTATAAACATTTGCGTTGGTCTTTTTGTTTAAAAAATAATGCGTTGAAAAATAAACTAAAGTATATGCGCATATACAAAATATTAATTTAAATAAACGTACATGATTTTCAAGAACTTATTATATATGTATCTTTATATTTCGAAATCTACTAACTTCGTAATAGAATTGTAGCAACAAAAAATCAGAGATATTTTATCTAAACAAAATTCCTTTTAATCGAATTGCGATTTGATAGAAATTTTACAATCTCTTGAAGGAATCGATGTTTTTTCGATGTTAAGGAACTCATAAATTTGTTTTATTCACAAACGATTAGTGTATATAAATATTTTCTTGATTTTATTTAAATAATTAACGGCACAAAGGGGTGTGAGAAGGAAAAGGCGGCCAGGGCGCAACACTCGGAGTGCGCTATATATAGGAATAACTGTTATTACTTATAAACAGCATCTACTTGAACACTGGAGAGCCCAAACAGGCATGCGACAGTCAAAAAGATTCATTGATCCTGAACACATCAAAGTTGATGCTATCATCAACCTTAGCAGAAATGATATCAAAATCTACACTGAACTTCTTACAGGGCACTGTAGACTTAATTACCACATGAAGATTATAGGTGCGGTAGAAAGTGATTCCTGTCGACTCTGTCATGAGGAGAAGGAAACATCGGAACATGTTCTATGCAACTGCCCAGCGGTGGCAAGACGTAGACTCGATTACCTTGGTAGCGGGATCCTGGTCCCAAATCAAATAGGTAAAATTAAGCCCACTGCAATTATAAGATTTATAAATAGTCTAAAATTGTCCTAGTTGGGCCTATAGGCGCACAATAGATCTTTTAGGTCGGGGTGCATAAATAGCCTATTTTTTTAAATAATAAAATATAAAATGCAACTCAATAGAGATAATTTTTTTTCATTGAAATTAAAAAACATAGAAGATAGATGATAATAAATGAATTTGTCTCCAGACGCTGAGAAAACTTATGCTGGTAGAGATTTAACTACGAGATCCTTATTTAACATTGCAATTTAGTTAAACCTTAATTAAATAAATCAATGGCTTTAAAGAAAATCACTATAATCTCGGGAACACTGATGATAAATCTGGTTTCGAGGAATAGACTCAGATCGTAAAGTACGTTTTTTATTTTTTTTAATGCTGTCACAAAAGTTACTAATAGAAATATCTAGTATCTTAGCATGATTTCTTAACTGTAATTCGTCATTACTTTTATCATAGGATTGATATCTTTACAGATCATCTCCAACACTATAATTTCTAAAGGTTAAGTTGAAGTCAAATAATTCTTAATAGTTGATTATCACATAATATTAACATATTTTTATTCAACTGATTACACTATTCACTGCTAGTTATAGCTGTCTTAAAATCAATCA